GGATGGGAGCTGTCATTCTGTACCCCACAGAGACCTGATACATCACACTATCACCTGACTTCCATATATTCCTACTCTGACCATGGTCAGTGGCCTCAGGTTTCCATGGGGAAGAACTGGAGAACAACTTACAGGGTATACCGTGGCCATGTTGTAGTGTTCTTCCATGAGCTACAATTTGCCAGATGGTGAGACAAAACTCCAATGTTACTTTTAAATTAGATGGTTTAGGGTGCCTGGGCCTCTGCCTTCGGCTCAGGTCATGATCTCAGGGTCCTGAGATTGAGTCCTGCATGGGCCCTCTGCTTGGCAGGGAGCCTGCTTCCTCCTCTCTCTCTCTGCCTACTTATGATCTCTCTCTGTTAAATAAATAAAAAAACTCTTTAAAAATAAATAAATAAATAAAATTAGATGGTTTAGTAAGAGCACAATCCAAATGATAATTCAAGTTTTATGTTAAAGACATTTTCCTTCCTCAAATTACTGCCAATCTGATTTCCTTCTGGAGATTTTTCCTCTTGTGTGCAGTCTTGGTGAGACTGTCTACACAGGTGCTAGGGGATGGAAAGGTAGCCCTCATTAGGCCAGTGAGATACTTTCTTCAGCTTTTTCACTCCTAAACAGTGTCAAAGACAAAACATTGATCTGATCCTCCTTCCCCCAGTGGGGATTGTGGGGGGGCAGGGGAACGACTCTAAGCATCTACCAGTGATAACTAGAAAAGCCCTCCCTGGTTTATCCCCCTTACAAACTTGGGTCTTTTTCTTCCAGCCTGTGAAACACTCTATTACCTTCCAGTAAGATCTCTTCTGCTTTAATTAGCCTGAGTTGGCCTGTATTGCACACGACCAAAGAACTCTAGCTGAAATAAGCTAAGAATTGGGGCAGTCCTGTGATCCAACCAGGAGAAACCCATGAGCTTTTCCTGAAGCCTAGCACCCCGCCTTTGTGTAACTCCGCTCCTTTATCATTTGACTGAAATTCTCTGAAGAGAGTTGACTGGTTCCATTTACGCTTTATCAGATGTCCATCCCTTTTTCCACAGTGCTTGGGGCAATCCTTTTAGGGTTCCTGTGCAAATGTAGTTAAACCTGAACTTACTTTCCCTACAGCCTGGAGTAAAATGAAGAGAGATTAATTAAACTAAAATACCTATGTAAAGCACCTGGAAAAGTTATTGCTTGAAACAGCACATACGTGCTTCAACCTGACCCATGATGTACAGGTCTATGTGACAAGTTTGCAGACATCAACAGCACAAGCAGACTGAAGACAAGAGAGCAGAATAATAATACCCCTACAGGGAGTATCACAAGAGCCTTCAAAAATGAGATCCTAACAGTGCTCCACATTGTTAGCACATCACGTGGCCATATACACACATGTGCACGCATGCATACACACACACACACACACACACACAGTGTGACACTGGCTTCCTATTTTCAAAGGTCTTCCTTAACCCTCCTTTCTTTTCGACACAACTGTACTTTTTTTTAGTAATTTTTTAAAAAGATTTTTATTTATTTGCCAGAAAGCACAAGCAGGGGGAGTGGCAGACAGGAGAAGCAGACTCCCTGCAGAGGGAGCCTGATGTGGGACTCCATCCCAGGACCACATGATCAAGACCCCAGACAAAGGAGATGCTCAACCGACCGAGCCACCGAGGCATCCCCCAAAATTGTACTTTATGCGACTCTTCAGCCTGAACCTCAAATCTTTTTTCTTCCTCAACATTACTTCTCCTTCTACCACAGGCAGTCTCCCTTCTATCAGCTGAGACCTAACACCCCCACTGAAATAGTACCAGAATCTTTATTACTTCTCCCCTCCATGATCCAGGGTTCCACTTATCCCGGGTTCCTGTAGCATACTATTAATGAGTGTTCTGGAACCAAAATTATCTAATCTGTTGTTTGAAAGAAACACCATTATATCCATTTTACAGAGGAGGAAACTTAACATCAAAAAACGGGTAAACTTGTCCAAGGTCACTTACTAGAAATCTAAACTACTTCCGACCCTAGTCCATGTTCTTAAATCACTAAGCTACACTGACTTTCTTCTGATCCTTTCTACTTGTTTCCAAATAAATTTTAGAAACATTCTGATGGGCTCTGAAAATTAACATATTGACCAGAATTGCCACACATGTAAGGAGGCACCCACATGTACAAATTATAGATTACTTTTTTTTAAGATTTTGACAGAAAGACAGGGAAAGAGAGACAGAAAGACACAAGCCTCGTGCTGAGCAGAGAGCCTGGGATCCTGACTTGAGCCAAAGGCAGACACTTAACAACAGAGCCACCCAGGCACCCCACATCATGTTCCTTTGAAACACTTACCATACAGTTTTCCAAACCAGGAATTTGTTAAGTGTAATGAAGCATGTTATTTTGCCCCACTACTGAGCTAAGACTGTCAATCTTATCTTGTCCCTATTTCAGGGAGTGGTCAATGTACGCTGATCAAATGAGATCTCTACCCTCTAACCCCTTTCATAGCTAAACCACAAAAATACCTGTGGGTCTTTGCTGTCAGCCATACCACTCACTGTCCTCAAACTACTCTCAAAGGCTCTGGCCTACAGGTTGACCATGGCACGATATCTACTTGACCCTTGACTCATTTTGCTAACTTACCCCAAAACACATAATCCATTTCCCTGTTCTGTTGTTCCATTTTGGCCCAAAGTGCTAACAACAATAAAATGGCTTTTGGTTTTCCTGAGGAAGACAATGAAAGTAAAAAAAATGTTTAATTTCATACAGACTGCTTGGTTCTGGGTGCTACATTTCAAAACTGTTGCTGCGGATATATTATTTCCAATCTTAGCTAGGCCCCTGTAAAATCCCTTCTCAGCCCCAGATCTTTGGTTCCAGGATTTGAACTCTCGTATCTCTAAGCAGTCCCCACCCCTCATCTCCAAGCCCAAAATAAACTTGCAGTTAGGTATGTTTTGGCTTTCTGGCTACCTGTGCATTTATTACAGCACAGACAAAAACACTTAAGATACAATGAGATAGCCTGTCTAATGAGGAACATGTGCCTTATTCACCTTTGTATCCTGACAGTCAGTTAAATGGCTTAAAAACCAAACCAAAAACCTGAAAACAAGCCAGGGGTTGCTTCGTAAAAGTAGGGGATCTTTAGTCTATAAAGAGGCAAATTAAGAAGAAACATACTCTTGAGCTCATAATAAGGCAGCCTAGCAAAGTGGGGAAATCATGGACTAAGGAGTCAGGAACCTACTTTTTAGCCCTACCCTCACCACCTACCATAACCTTGAGAAAGTCATTTCCTATCCACAAAATATTTACTATTTCAACATCCTTCAAAACAGCCTCTATGTTCCCCATCTGTTCTTTAGCTATCATGAAAAACTTGTTAAAAGTAAAAAAAAATTTCTAGTATTATCAATCCTGTAGCCAACAACGTAGAGGTTCAAATCTCAGCTCCATCGTTTACAAGTTGTGTAACTTTCTCATTTGTGTAAATGGGGATATAATCTGCATTTCATAAAGTTGTTTTGGGATTAAATGATACTCTGCGCTTAGACTACTCAGGCTCAAAAATGTTAAATACTACGTCACTGCTTACAAAATTCTAATGGTTCTCTATTACCCACACAATCACATCCAAATTCCTTAACAAAGTAACACAAAAGGCTTTCAAACAAGATTCTCAATTAGTAAACCCTAGCTCCCATTATATACTCCATTCTACCACCAGGCATTGTTCCGGAAACTGAAGCACAGGCTAAGTAACCTGGACCACTTAACTGTGGAGGCAGTTTGGCTAAGCTGGTACCTGCTAGCCCCAAGTTCCTAATGTTTAGTAAACTCCCTATGCTAATGCAAAATCTGGGGATTCTTAAGACCTGTGTCAAACATTTCCAGGAAGTCTGAAAATCCTGACTTGTCAATCCTGACTTACTCCTACTGACTCACAGAACTTACTGGTTTCACAGTACAAAATCTACAGGTACCATTTTGCCACAAAATGAAAGCCACACATTTACTCATCAAATACTTAAGGCTACTATGTGCAAGGAATTATATTACGTACTGGGGATGCATTAATGAACAAAACTGTTGGGGGTAACAATTAACACAAATGTAGAATTATAGCTACGGGTCTAATAAGGGCTTGACACAGAGCATTACCCTGAGGCAATGTTTGTGCCAGAGCCAATATGGAAATAAAGGTAAAAAAATCTGTAAATAGATGTTATAGAGAACTTAAGAGAGCTAATAATGGGCCAAAGAGTTCCGAAAGAGAAGCACAGCCCGTGAAGAGCCACAAAGGTTTTTACTCTATCCTAAGGGCAAAGGAAATCCATGTTTTCATCTTATCAGATTTACATTCCTAAGGAATTAATGTTTTTGGAGTACTGACAGACATACCTGTTAGGAGGTTCCTAAGGACTCCTTACCACAGAGGGTAGCTTAGACAAGGTTGAGAAAAGGCAAACCAGGACAACAGGCAGAGAATTAAGTGACAGACTGAATAAAGGTGAAAAAAGTTAATCATCATCATTAACTATTCATAACTCAAATTCCTCCCTCGATCTTCATGTTTATTAGTATAACTGACCACCTGTATCAGGCTGAGTAATTCAGTCCTGTCCATCATTCTTTGCAAACTGAAAAATGGGAGAATGGCATAGGTATTTGCAAAATTTGTCCTAAAATTCGAATTGTTTCATACTGTTTTCTCAAGATGCTAATAAAACATGTGGTCAGACAAAACACCCATTAAGTTAAGAAGCAGTATATGTCATCCTACCTTTAGAAACAAAAAAATTAACGATGACCTAAAAACAAAAGTCCTCAAAATTTGAACTACTATATCCCATAGAAGTTGAAATGGCAAGGATACACCTACAGAAAGTGAAGACACATACCAAACCTCTAAGACTTATATTCTTATGTCATCTAACATTCGACTACAGGGGGAAAAAAAAGCTCTATTAGGATAACCCAATCTCAGTACGCTTTTCCAACAAAAATTAGAAGGATTTTTAATTTCCAAGTTCTCTGAGAATGCAAAATTAATGCAACATAAATTGAAAGATCTAATCAATAAATTTAACAAGCCAAAATAATTTTGTTACATAAATTAACCCATTTATTATAGGCTAGCAATGTTTCAAACGGTGGCGCTTCTACTGGTCTTTCAACTCCTTCAGTCTTCTGATGGCAGACTTTACTGTGACAGCAGAAGTGGTGCTGGAAAGAAAAAGTTGGATCCAACATAATTAGCTACACTAACATGTGAAATGGCAAATGAGTAAATCCTGCCTCTTTTTTTACATTACAATCTTAATGATGGTATCTTTTAGCAAGTAAGAGTTATGTCTTCAGGGTTTTGCAGAATTAGACAATCTCGTGCATTTAATCATGCAGCATTAAAAAAAAAAATAACAGGGAGGAATGAATGGTTTCAGCAGGCTGACCTAAACTCATAGAAAAGAATGGACAGAACGTCAGAAGAAACTAGTAAATTCTAAGATGGTATCATAAATGAGAGATATCAAGAAAACAGTATCTAAAGAACAGACTCGAGTATAATTTGGGAAGAAAGCTATGAAAAGGACTATAAAAAGTTACACCAAAAGATTCTGGAACTGTACCTGGAAAACCCATAACCATCACATAGGGTGGGTACAGGAATGCTAGTTCATTTTATCATCACGACCAAGAGAAAGCTAGGTTTCATTTGCCTTTTTGACCTCATAAACCCACACAAGACACACATATATAAAAATGATCATTTCAACACTTCCCAATATTTTACACTGCTGCAGTTTTAAATCAACTAAAATTAAAATTTCAACTCAACCACACTAGTCTTATTTTATACATGGGAGGCTAGTGTACCACACACGTCTAGATACTGGCTAAAGGAAGAACACTTCAGCCTTTAAGATCAGCGATGAATTCCAAAACTAGAGATCTTCAAGGTGGCTTTCATTTCCAAAAATGGATTAACTCAAGAGTCCACTCAATCAATAACTAACACAGGTACATTTATCTCAGCACCATCATCTGGCACTTGTCAGGGTCACAAAGCTGCTGAGGTCCAGCCAGTACTGTTTAGAACAGCAAAAGTATAACGGTCCAGGTGGCCTCAAGTTTCCATATACAGTAACAAGCTAATCGACCTCATTTTTATAAAATCAGCTTGCAATACAAATCGAAGTTCAGTACAGATTCAGTCCCACTAAAGGGCATGTACGGTATCATTGTGCTCACAGTGGTGACCCTTTCAATTCTATGAAATTCTCAAGTCCTGTCACACTTTTCTATTTCAGTGGTTTTCTTCTCTTTGAACACTGAACATAAACCATACTCTCAATGAGTCATGAAAAAAAACTAAAGCATTCTTGTTGTCTCAGTCTTGTTGAGTTAAAACTAGCCCGTCCAGCATCAAACCTGGAATTCTGAGGTGATCCACACAATTCAAAGGTCACAAAGAAAAGGGACTCACTTGTAGGTCCAGGCGCCACCAGCGACGGTTTTCATGCAGGAGCCACAATGCCAGATCCCCACAGCCTGTCTTTTCATCTTGGTCTGCAAAAGACAATCAATTTTCCCTATGAATCAATAAAAGCCTTTACCTCAGCAACATCCAGTAGTCTAAACTGCACTAGAAAATGGGTGTATTTTGGGGGCACTTGGGTGGCTCAGGTCATGACCCTAGGGTCCTGGGATGGAGGCTCAGGATCCGGCTCAGCAGGGGGCCTGCGTCTCCCTCTCCCCCTGCTGCTGCTCTAATAAAAAAAAAAAAATCTTAAAAAAAGAAAGAAAATAAATGGGTGTGTTTTATGAGGTTCTAGGTGTTCCTAGTACCCTACGTTTTCTCATGCAAAACCGGCATTCGCCACAATGCTACACTGCCAGCAATGTCAAAGACACCCTCTCCAACCGTATTCCAGCACACCACAGACATACAAACGCTACACGGAACTCTCTAGCAACACCAGGAGACAAAACTGACAAGAGTCATCGCCCACAAAGCGGGCTTGGCTTAGGCTGGGGCTCCTTGTCCAACGTGTGACCCTTCAGTCCCCGAGTGTAAACGGGAAGCAATCCACCAAATCGAGCTACCAACAACCCAGCACACTATCCACAAACTTCCCTCAGGAGCCGGCTCACGGGCCGGAAAGCCTCCCCTCCCTCTGCCCGCCCCCGCCCCCGCCCCCATCTTACTTTGCCACAGAAGGAGCAAGTGTACTTGGCGTGCTGGCTTATCTCAATCTTCTTCACCATCTTCCTGAGGGAGGCACCATAACGGGTCCCGTATTTGCCCACGATTCCGACCTTCTTGGTGCGTTTAGCCTGTTAAGAGCCAAGAGAGAAACCAGCGATACTGGGACCCGCTGACAGAGCCTCTGCCACCCACTCCCCGCCCCAAACGCCATTCCTCCAATCACCCCAGCCGCTGCCGGGTCCTAGGTCCCCCTCATTCCATCCTGGCAAAATGTGAGGCCAGAGCGGGCCCCGGGCTCCGACAGCACCGTTTCACCCGCTCGGATCGGCCGGGCGCCATCAAGCCGCCTCCGTCCTTCCGCCCCGGTCTGTGCCCGAGAGGGGCGGTCACGGCAAGAAGGCTGAGGACGGCGCAAGACAGGGCTGGCGAGCAGACGCCGGGTGGGTGCAAAGATAGCAAGAAAATGTCAGATGCCGGCGGATAGACCTCTAGGCCTCACCGATAGCAACACTCACCATGTCGCCTCAAACTAGGTCTGAGTCCCGAGAGGAAGACACTCAGTGCGCAAGCGCAGTTTTAGGAAAACGGACGGAAGTGGCGAATGGGAAGCCCAGCTAGGAACTGAACTCTATGCTCCGGAGGTCTCTTCCTCCCTGCCGCCTTCCGTGGGGAATGAGGTTGTTTTCTGTGTTGAAAATGTTTATTGTTTAAGCAGGCTAAATAGAAATAAAATGATTTATCACAGGCTTATTGCTAGGTATGGAAGGAGATTAGTTTGTTACTTAATTAACTGGCTTCTGGTAATATTAGACCGGTATTTCTCAAACTCCAGTCCCTCGAACATTGCATTTTCAGTTTTTGCCATACCGGGATTGACTGTTTCATCATTTATTTAAAAACTGAGTCACTTTTTAGAAAATTTAACGAAACGAAGCTTCGTCCTAAGCCAACACTATCTATGGAATCCAGGGCGTATGTCCTATGTGAGTGTTTTTCTGAGTACACATTAAAATTGACACATAAATACTCAAATGAAAAACGTCCAGTGATTAAGCTGTTGATATTAATCCCCACAATACATTTTAAAAACATTACAGAAAATTTCAAATACAGACAAAAGCAGAAAAAGTAGTATAATAAACAAAGGCACATCTTTTAAAACATAACTACATCCCTTCTTTAAAAAATGCTTCATGCACTGACAGGGAGATTATTTTTATGTTCTAATTAAATAAATACACAATTAAATTATATATTGTATTCCTTGGCATTAGCATTCTTGCCTGTACATACTGAAAACATTAACCTTTCGGTAAAATCTACATCAAGAAGAATGATGCCTGGAGACACAGCAAGCACCTTGTTTTACACACCAACTGTGCAAACACATCTACCCGCTGGGGAAACAAGATGTGCTCAAAATCTCCCAGTTCCACCACAGCCTCCAAGTACCCTCTGCTCCTATAGGGTGAAGAATGGCAAGGGGCAGAGGGAGTAAGTATCTCCTCCCTCAGGAGAGAAATACACTGCATATTGGGGATGATTTCTGGACGCCTCGCCAACCAAATTATGTCCTGCTTCTAGAAAACTACAAATAAAAGCAAAATATATTCCTACCGGTGCAAACAAATGGGATTGGTGGAAGAAGAGTTGAGAAACAAGCACTCCAATGGTCCTCCTGTTCCAGTCTGCACGTGCAGGTTGAGCAGAAGTGGGGTTCACCTGCCCTGAGTGAGTGCGTAAGCATGGCCAGCTTGCACTCTCTAAGGTGAGCCCTCCTGGGCTGGCTGCGAGCCCAGTTCAGATCATCATTTAGGAAACTGACCACCTCCTCCCCCTCCCATCTCCTGTGTAGCCTCCTACATCTCTTCCCTCCAGGGGGTCTGAGAGAGAGCAAGAGAAGGTAGAATGCCTGAGTAAGAATGCAGTAGAGTGCCTGAAAATGAGACACTCCATAATAGGAGGAAATTGTTCATGCTCAGAGCAATTTTCTCAAAACTGAACAATTTTCTTTAAATAGCGAGCTTGAGGATGTGCAAATAGCACTCTCATGAAATCAGCTCTAAGTGGCTTCAGAGAACTGTGGACAAAGTCTCAATTTGTCTTATCTGTGGGCTAATAAATCCCCAACCCCATTAGAGGACCATCAGGTGTACAGATGAACTGTAATATGTACCCATAAAATCTTAGTAAAAATCTCTGCTGAGTCACAAAATTCACTTTTGCCCTTAAAAAGATAAGTTACAAGTTGTCTCTAGAGGTGAGTTCTTTTACCTGTTGAGCCAACCAGTTGTCTTTGGGGCATATGGAACATTTGATTCTTGAAGGAAATCTGAGGGGCAAACGTCATCCACAATTGATCTCATGCTGGAAACCAAAAGGGTTTATCCGGGAGCCCCAAGCTCCATGCTGTTCCTTCGCTTTGTGCCCAAAGAATTCTTGCTTGTCCTTCACCCAAGGGCCTGGTGGCCAAGGGCAAGAGTGAAGTCTGCGCACAATGTTAAGAGCACTGTAGGCTACCTCCACAAGGGCAGTAGACTCAGCTAGGGGAGGGAGAGCCCTGCTGAGGCCAACTCCTAAACACCTAGAAATAATCAGGTGTCTGAAAAGAATTCAGTATGTGGATTCATTCCTTCTTCTCTTCTCTCCACAAATTTACTTTAAATTCATCATTCTCTTTGTTTGCTTTTTGTTTTAATGGACATTTCACAGGTAAGGTACCCATCAGAATGGGTGTTACTTGGTAACTCTTAAAAGAGATAAGGTAAATCAATATGAAACAATGACCAAATATATTATGTGAAATGAGCCATTTCTAATATGAAGAGTTTCATTCCATTTTCGAAGAAATAATTCTATGTATATGTATGTATTTATATGCATTGGGAATAAATTACCAATGGCTCCGTCCTAAATTATTTATATTAGCTATTACCTGTAAGAAGCAGGGCTAGGAGTACAAGGGATGAGAATGCAGGGCTTTCATTTTTTTACTTATACATTTTAATTTTTAATTTTTTCATTTTTATTATTTTATTTTATTTATTATTTCATTTATTATTTCATTTCCCATTTTTATTATTGTTTTAAGATTTATTTATTTATATATTTGAGAGAGAGCATGAGCGGGAGGAGGGGCAAAGGGAGAGGGAGCAGGACAAAGGACTCCACCCTGAGCACAGCCTGATGCGGGGCTCCATCCCATGACACTGAGATCATAACCTGAGCCAAAATCAAGAGTCAGACGCTTAACCGCTTAATGGACTCTGCCACCCAGATGTACCAATTAGTTAAATTTTACATCAAATTTATAATAGTGAAAAGAAAGCACTGCAGAGCCCTAGATGAAGGGACAGTTTTTTCAATAAGTGATGCTGAGAAATGGCATATTCACATGGGGAAAAATTAACCTTGACCTTACCTCCATGTACAAAAATAAACTGCAATTGGATTGTAGTTCTAAACATGAAGAGCAAAACAATAAAGCTTCTAGAATCTATATTCACAACTTTGGGGGTTATGATTTACATGACTATTCATTCTGTAATATTTTGTTAAGCTGTAAATTTGTTTTATGAATTATTTTATGTATGATATTTCATCCTAGAAAAGGGGAGTTAAAAACAAAGAGGAGGAGAGCCTGGCACTCCATAAGTCAGATGAATGGGTTGAGGTGGGCGGGGGGCGGGGGGTGGGCAGAGGGTGTTGTAAAATCAAATAACTGTTGGCTGTCATAATATCCCGAACACTGTGACTCACAGGCTTCTCGATGTTTTCTGCTATGATTAAGAATCCATTTCCTTCCCTGGGACCTCATAGGAAAAGACAAAACCACAACTGCAGGTATGAGAGAGGGCTCCAACAAAATCTCTTTAACCTTCCGTGCCATTTTTTTTTTTTTAAAACCTTGTAATCCTACACGTGGTAAGAAGTGAGAGGATACGGCAGGAGATAAGATTGGAATTCTTTTCATCCCTTTTGCAGCTTAAATTTCACTACAAAGAGCTTCAGAAAGCATCAAGGTTCCAGGGTGGCTCAGCTGATTAAGCGGCTGCCTTCTGAGGCTCAGGACCCCAGGGTTTCTGTGCTCAGAGGGGAGTCGGCTTCTCCCTCTGCCCCTCCCCCTTGCTCGTGCTCAGGCACTCTTGTTCTCTTTCTCTCTCTAATAAATAAAATCTTTAAAAAAAAGAAGAAGAAGAAAAAGAAAAGCATCAAGATTCCAGCAGACAAGAATGCAAAGATAAGGCAAAACCCGGGAGTCAGCAGTGAGGGGATGGTGCCTCCAGCTCTGTTTCTTTCCAACCTAGAAAAAGGTTGCTCAGAGCAAGCAAGAAGCCAAGAAGGAAGCCAAGAAGGAAAACACACCATTAATTCGAGTACAAATGGATCAAGGCTTACAGGATCCCTTGCTCCCTCTAGCAGTCTTCCTGATGACAACCCCAGAGGCAGAAATTAACCAGGGTCATTCAGGGAGTAATGACCTTGGTGAGGGTAGGCAGAGCCAGCTCTGGTAGGCCTGGGGGACCTTTCCTAAAACCCTTTAAGAGGCCACCTAATCACAGGGACAGGAAGTGGGATGAGATAGGCCCAGGTTTTCTTCATTAGAACTGACATTTCCAGGAAACACAGTGGATGGTGACAGGTATGTGTCTGGACTGAGCTGTGAAGTAAAGGAGGAAAAAGAATGACTGCGGAAATCCCTACTTAAACCCAAAGGCATTCACTCTCTATAAATAAGTCCAAGTGTCTTTTCTGAATCACACAGAAATGGCTGGATGGTTCTCAATAAATTCTAGAGGTACATTCAGCATGGTATAACTTAGAATATACAGTCTTCATGGTATAAATAAATATGCTTTGGGGGACCTCAAGGACATCTCAGAGATGGCGAGTCTTTCTCTAGAGCAGCTGGGACTGAGGACTAGCTAGAGGCTTCGGACGGAGGCTCAACAGACCGTATTTACAAAGACCGTATTTACAGTGGAATAGTGGTTTCGCACATGGACACCAAGTTGCAAGAACCAAGGGCAGACCCTCCCAAGGGCAGGCATTGATCCAACACCTTGTGGTAGGCCCCAAGGTGAATAAAGCAGAGATTTATTCATTTAACGATGATCACCAATGCTCCCAAGCAACACTAAATATATATGTCTCAAAATCACCTGGACCTTTCACTCTATTTCTGAAGCATACCCATTGCAGACTAACCACGGCTCTAGAGTAAAGAGGAACTCCTAATAAAAATAAGGAATGAGATGTTATGATCTCATTCTCCGAGACTTTAAAGAACTTGACCAAACTCCAGCAGAGCTCATGAGAAAGCTGCACCCAATCTTCTTTGAGTGAGCAGCAGACGAGTCTCTGGAGACATCCACAGACTCACAGAAGAGGGCTTCGTAATACTCCTCAACCCATGTGATGTCAGGACAGAGAGCAGAGGCTGTGGCTAGGCTCTGCGGCAGGCGAGGAAGAAATCCTCCTTCCTGTAACTCAGCATCTGTGATCCAGAATCTTTCTGCTTCCTGGGCCTTAACTCATTCCACAGACTTCTCCCTAATGAGGGGACCATGTTGTTTCCATCAATGA